ATGTGGTAATTTCTAATTTTCAGATATGTAGCGGGTAGGCTTGGATAGTTAGGACTCAAAATACCAATAAACCCGAAAAATATTTGAAAAATACTTCAAACCATAAATAAATAATCAAAATATATTCAAATATCTGTAAACCTTGAATTTTACCTAATTTGACTCGAAAAAAAAAATATACCCAAAAATTTGATTTGAATATCCAAAACAAAATATATATATATATATATTTTAGAACCCGAAACCTAAAACTGTAACTAAAACTTAAAAGAATATACATAATACCAAAAACATATATGAAATATCCAAACATATATAATAAAAAAAAAATATTGAGTGCTTTTATGTACCTGATCGGGTCTCGGTTATGATCCATACTAGAATCGATTCCTGCGGGTCTTTAAAGATAGCCAGTAAGTACTTTATCATGGATCCTAGCCGAACCTATATTTTCGGGTCGGTTTGGTCGTGTTTTTCGATCCGGATAAAATGTCAAGACCTAGGGAGAGTTACATTAAAAACTTACATATAAAATCTCAAATAAATTAATTTATAAATTACATAATTTTTCAAAAAATGTATTTTATATATTAAGATTTGTAGCCTAATAATGTACATCATTTCTAAAATACTAAATCATATCAAAATTTGTTTATAATCTAACAAAAACCCGCGTTTTTGAAGCGCGGGTCAAAATCTAGTTTAATATTATATACAATTTGCTTTTTGGGGTTCATATCTAACCATTCATCGAACTTTGATTAAGAGACTTCCATTTGTTTTTGACAATTTTAGAGCTTCTCCATCACTAATAAGTGGACAAATATCTCAATTCTCACCAATAAAAAAAATAAAAGAAAAAGAAGAAAAAAAAACATAAAAGAAAATTAAATGAGATGTTAATTATTAGAGCATTCACAATAGTGGATTCTCAAAAAGATTTTCAAAATAAAAATAAATGATACATAGATAAAAGTACAAGAGAAAACATAAGTACATTTGCAGAGAACCTAAACAAAAATTTCCAAGTATCCCACTTAATAGCTGTCCATTAATTATTCGTCCAAAAGTTTTTAAAAATTCAAAAATAAATCAAAAATATACATAACAAATTTTAAAGTTGTTTGAAAAACTTATCCAGTATTTACCATTGTTAATGCTATAGAATCGGTTCAGAACACATGTCTCTCTTTCAATTGTCAACTTTTATAGCTGCCCATTAATTATTCGTCCAAAAGTTTTTAAAAATTCAAAAATAAATCAAAAATATACATAACAAATTTTAAAGTTGTTTGAAAAACTTATCCAGTATTTACCATTGTTAATGCTATAGAATCGGTTCAGAACACATGTCTCTCTTTCAATTGTCAACTTTTATGTAAAACAAATAAATTTAAATGATTAACTAAAATACATTACAATAATATTTTTTTAGTGTCAATAACTCCAAATGAGCATCCAACCGTTGGTGATGCTCTTATGTAGATATTCTTTTTAAAAAATTATGATGATATTACAATAAATCTGGTAATTTAACATGAAGACAGACTATTGATGAAAAGGAAGAAGAATAATAAACTGTGAGATGGACAACGCAAGAACAATAAGATAGAGTTGATAGTGAGAGTCTGAGAGAACGTGATTATAACCAGGTTGCTTGACCAAACATACTTCCTTTCAAACACTAACATTGGCAACAGCAACTAAATATTGCAAGACTTCTTACATATAGCAAGTCCTGAATTATCAAATACTAAGAATATGTCCATTTCACTTGAAGATGTAATATCTTCTTGGCGTGTGCCTTCCACACACTTCTTATGGCTCTCCTTGTTTTTCCTTTGATATACTTCATGAATTTCTCAACTTCTTCACGCAACAATCATCTCTATTGTATACATTTATCTCATTTTTAGCTCTACGGAATCCTACGAAAATAACAGATTTTATACTTCGCTTACAACAAAAAGATAAATGCATATCTAAAAAAACATTTATATTCAACAAGATCCAACTGCCACCACATATGCTGATAGAGAAACAGTAGACTTTGATCTCAAACTCAATTAAATTGCTACAGTTTAAACAGTTTGTAGCTCTTTAGTAACAAAAGGGCCTATTACATTTCTAATCAGAAAGTATGTAATTATATGATTTTTAACTTAAATCTGCGTTATATGTTAGCAACCCTCATTGGGAACAAATAGGAATATATGGGTTGTATGCGGCAGATATATTAGTGGGTTAGTTACCTTGGCCGTTGAATTAATGCAAGAGGCACTGGTGTGTCATTCTCTTGACGGAATGTCGATCTTTTCAAGTTGGCGTGTGTCTTTTTATCCCTTTTATTATTCGCAAAATCGTCTCACATATGGACATGCAGGACGATTCCAATTTCATATAGCGTGTTTTTGTCAACGTATTCCATTTATGTTACTTTCGTAGAATTCCTACAAGCTAAAGTGTGATAAGATGCTCTTTTTTCTTTCTAAATAGAAAAAAAAAATGGTTGCGTGAAGAATTTGAAAAAAGAAATCATGAAGCAAATGCAAATCAAAGAAAAAAAGGAGAGCCGGTACCAAATGTGTGGAAGGCACACGCCATGCATGAAATTGAAGATAATATCTTCTTCCGAAATTCGCATATTCATATACTATTTTCTGAAATGAAAATTCAGTTTGATTTTTGTAGGAAGTGTACAATCTTTTTTTTTTCTTTCCAAATGTTAGTAATCAGTTGCCCTTTCTATTGTTGCAATAAGCAGGGTCGACACTGAGATTTCAAAGACCTAAGACGATAATTTAACGATTTCGACTAAAATTTGTTTTCAAAAGATTTGAGGACCTAAATTTGTTTTTTGCGGGAACCTATATATGTACATATAACTTTTTCTAAAATTTGGGACCAAAACAAATGTTTCATCCGGCTTAGTCTAGGACGGACCGAGACAATAAATAAATAGATTTTTGTTTGTTTCAAACACGTCTTAATGAAAAAAAAAAACAGTTAGGAGTTGTTGCTTATATAGAAACCTGAAGTGCAAAATTGCTTAGTGTAGCGCTCAATTCAGAAACCAAGAAAGCTTAAACCATAAATCAGAATAATAATACAATTATAACACGGTTTTTATTTATTTGAAGCTGTTTAGAGAATTCAAAACTCTTTGTAATAGCTAGCTCTTGATTATTTGGAACAGCTCAATATTATTGGACTCTTTCATGTCAGTACAATTATGTGTTTGCATCAGACCACACATAATAAGGCGAAATTTTTTTTATTGCTTCATACGAGTTGGAAGAAGACATAGTCACATGCATGCCAAAGTCTCGTAACTGTTTAGGGCTTGGTTTTGCATATAGGTGATATGATATAAATTTACCAGCCAAGTCATTAGAATCAATTTTCATGTTGAGCATCTGTGCTAAAATCATAACAGGCAGATATTAATCTTTGCGATAAAAGACAAAATGAAAAACATTAAGCAATAAACTATTTTCTTGCAATTTTGGATCTCATACATGCATGTTCACACACGTCAGAGTAACTCGAAGAGTACAAATAATCAACTTTTGTAGTTTTTATTTCATATTTTTAAAAAAGCCTTTTGTAATTTTTAACAACACATCTTTACAAAAACAAACAAATTCAAATGACACATATGCAGTTTTGGAATTTTTATGATTTAACAAATTCATATAGTAATCTAAATTATTATCTATACTATTAAAGCTGAAGTACAAAAATAAAGTGTTTGGAAACATGAATAAGAAAATTTTAAAATCCCTGTGAACATCTTTTCTTAATGTATTAAAGAGGGCCTCTTGATTGGAAACATGGATATCATACAAATTTAATAGACTTATTTATTATACTAAATATTACTGCGGCCCAAGGTACCATTATTATTTTTTTTGGATTTTCTATCATTGATATTACTTTACTTCTAAAAATTATTTATACATATATGTATTCATGTTTTAAATGTATTTAGAATAAATCAAGAATAATATATATTTTATTTATATAATTTATATTGACTATTCTTATAAGTTTTTAACACTGATATACTAGCCTTCCAGTTCTTCATTAAAAATTAAATTAAAAATTTGACTAAATTATTTAGTGTATATAACTTTACACCAAATTTAGTCAAATTTTTTTTTTAAATATTACTAAAATGTTTACGGGTCACAATATTTTAAGACGCCCCTGTTACACAATACAATAATGAAATACAATATTTAAATAATATACTATTACTTAGTAAAATTGGCACTATTAAATTATAATTTTGAAATGTTATATATATATACCATAAAAACAAAGACCCGCCCAGTCGGGCGGGTTATGATCTAGTTTCTAGTAAAATTTAAAACACAAACCCTATAAACTATAATCTAAAATTCCATCTCTTAGACCACCCGCAACGGGGGTACGTGGGTCGAATCCTTACGTATTTTGGATTAAAAATAAATCTTTTTGGGCTCAAAATTAGAAGGATCTGTACGGTTGAGTCCTTGTGTAAGGACCCAAAATAATCAGTCCTTCGTACACGTGTCCTCGTTTGGTTGGGCCGGTGAGCAATAGGGTTTTCTCATGTTGGGAAAAAAATTCATTTGGTATCTAAAGGGTGAAAAAATGATTTGATTGAGAATATTTGGAATAAAAGTTAATGTATCTTTTTAAAAAAACTTCCTAATAAAAAATTTTAATTTTTCCAATTTTATATTTTTAATATTTTTTAATTTCTAAAGATTCCATTTCGGATAACACCAATGCACCTACATTTTTGAACTGAAATCCTTAACTATTCAAACAAAAAAAAAATTATTTTTTATTGGTAAGGACTCCATCCACAAATCCACCATTGTGTATGGTCTTAAAACTTACACTAGATTTTGACCCGCGCTTCAAAAGCGCGGGTTTTTGTTAGATTATAAACAAATTTTGATATGATTTAGTATTTTAGAAATGATGTACATTATTAGGCTACAAATCTTAATATATAAAATAGATTTTTTTGAAAAATTATGTAATTTATAAATTAGTTTATTTGAGATTTTATATGTAAGTTTTTAGTGTAACTCTCTCTAGGTCTTGACATTTTATCCGGATCGAAAAACACGACCAAACCGACCCGGAAATATAGGTTCGGCTAGGATCCATGATAAAGTACTTACTGGCTATCTTTAAAGACCCGCATGAATCAATTCTAGTATGGATCATAACCGAGACCCGATCGGGTACATAAAAGCACTCAATATTTTTTTTTTATTATATATGTTTGGATATTTCATATATGTTTTTGGTATTATGTATATTCTTTTAAGTTTTAGTTACAGTTTTAGGTTTCGGGTTCTAAAATATATATATACACATATATATATATATTTTTGGATATTCAAATCAAATTTTTGGGTATATTTTGTTTTTCGAGTCAGATTAGGTAAAATTCAAGGTTTTCAGATATTTGAATATATTTTGAGTATTTATTTATGGTTTGAAGTATTTTTCAAATATTTTTTGAGTTTATTGGTATTTTGAGTCCTAACTATCCAAGCCTACCCGCTACATATCTGGAAATTAGAAATTACCACACTGGAAATACATAGAAATTAGATTATTCATGAAAATATTGAAATTATAAGTTACAATCTTTCAAGAGTCTAGATATCTTTTTAAACAAAATTAATGTTTTAAAATAGTTTCTCTAGAATAGTAAATCA